AAAACCCATTAAATGAAAGTGAAGAACAAAGAACATCGCAGTTGCACTTCATTGCTGAAAGAACAGCGTTCCAAAATGTATTGCCCACTCAAAGAACAGTATGGCCAAAATGAGTCCTCCCACAGGAGTCCTCCCAGATGAGTATAGATAAAGATGAAATGTCTGTCTGTGTAATCAGTCTGTATGTCAATCTACATTCTACATATTGGATCCTTTGGTTGCAAGCGGGTACAGCTACTATTTATATAAGCGTCTTTCGGATAGGTTAATGTTTCAGACCACTTTATAAAGACAGAGTAGAACACAAAAGCAAGGAGGAAGGGTAAGGTATCCATTAGTGTTTGAAGAGAGATTTTGAGGCTGGACCTAAAGACAGATAGAGAACAAAGGTAGAGGAAGGGAGTTCCAGAGGTTAGGGATGATGTGATATGGGGATAATATGGGACAGTAGGATTGAAATGACAGCTTGCTCTGAGAGTCTGCAGATTTGATGAGCTGAATGGCCTCATTCTGCACTCCAAATGTCTATGATTCTATCCTGGAGTCCCTCTGCCTCGTTCCCCTCCCTTCCCTCCATTAAAGCTTTTATTTAAGACTTTTATTTTCAACTGCCCTTTTGCTTACCTTTCACACCCCCCATACCTGCTTCCATGCTCATCTCCCCCTACCCTCAGCTCAGGTGCCTCCCGATGTGATAGGTGCTACATGAATGTAAAACTGTTGTTGTTAAATAGTGAGTCCTGTTGAGATATAACCATGTGAATATTGATCACGCAATAGCTTTAGTTTCCCACATTTACTGTCAGGCTGACATGAAGAATGGGTTGAGTGAGGCACTAATGCCAGCAGAAACATTCCTCAGGATAGTTCAGGAGGGTGGGGAAAAAATTGAGATAAAGGTTTCCAGTTTAGAGGTGTTTACTGCCAATTACAGTGAAGAAGAGGAGAGTGTGAGAATTCAATTGGTGTGAGACATGGTGTCAGCATTGTAACTGGCCCAGATGGAAAAGTGGAAAGTAAATCTGAAAATGTCATGCTAGGAGCAATATCATAGAAGTATAATAATAATATAATAATAAACCTTGCATTTGATATAGCGCTTTTCATGTCTTCCAAACGGCTCAAAGCGCTTCACAAAATATGCTGGAAAGTGAATTGACTGTATATTTGTGGGCGAAACATGGCAGCCAATTGCACACAGCAGTGTCCCACAAACAATCGTGGACTGAAAATGACCAATTTTATTATTTTTTTTGTTTTGGAGGGATTATTATTAGGCCTGTGGAGTAAGGAAACTTGCCCAAGGTTTCGCCCTGCCTGGAATTCAACCCAGGTGTCTTGCAAGGCGAGTGCTCTAACCACTGAGCTACTGGACTAATTAAAGAACTACTTTAATTGAGAGAATAACTAATTATTATTATTAAGGGGACCTTGATTTAACGTTTCATTCAAAGGATTCATTCACCTACAACAATGCAGCACATCCCCAGCACTGCATTGGAGTGTCAGCTAAACACTAGATGAATTCAAAATCTAGAATTGTGGGCTTGAACCCTCAATCTTCTGCTTCAGAGCTGAGAGAGCTACAAACTGAACCAGGCTGACACACATTCACTAGAAAACGTTTTGTTTGATTACTATACACAGAACAGTCAACCATCGCGCCCACCTTAGCACGTCTCTTGAGTTTAATTTTTTAAACTGTGGGCTGTAGTTCTCAACACAAAACCTTTGGTTATCAGACAAAATTCCTGGAGGTTTGCTCAAACTTCCTGTGGTCAGCCACAGAAACCAAATTGTATTTTAGCATCTTGTCCAACAATAATAAACGTTTTGAGGATGACTTGTAGTACTCTGTAATAAAGGCTTGGCCAAAAGCTCAACTAAACACTCTTTTGTTTTAGAAACCTTTTTTTTTCATAAGTCAGTCCCCCAAGTTGTTAACTTTGCCTCAGCTCAGCTCATCTCAGTCTGTCCATATAGACCTGTTTGCTCCCTCTGCTCAGTGGGCTCCAGCATGCTCCATGTCCCCCGCCAGCCCACTCCACATCCAGAGGTCGGGCCTTCAGCTTCTCTGCCCTCCATCCTTTGGAACTCTATCCCACATTCCCTTCACTTTGCTCCCTCACTTGCCTCCTTCAAGGCCTGTCCCAAGACCTTACTCTTCAACCATGCCTTTAGCCACCCTCCTTCCCCTACCCTCCCTGCTCTCTACCCCTCCTGATTCCAACCACCAGCCGACATCCAAATCCCTGACTGTTCAGTGCCTTGGGACATCCTCCCGACATGAAAGGTGCTATACAAATGTAATGTGTAGTTTAGTCTGTCAAATTTCATTTCAAAATGCAAGTATATTTTTGTTTTACATTAACCAGAATTTTGGAAATAAGCAATAGACTGAGTGATGCAAATCTCAAGGTGAACAAAAGAGGAAGGAAGTGGCAATCATATAATAATTGCCCAAGCAGCGATGTCAATTGTGTCAAAAAACTAAATGTCACTAGGATCTCAATTGTAACAGTTTGCAAAAGGAATCGGCGAATCCCCAGTGTGTCTGCGTCACAAGGTCAAAGAAGATCACAAGATTGGTTCGGATGAAGAAGGCCCTTTGGCCCATCTAATCTCATCCTTTCAGAACACTCACCCTACCATCCACCAGTCACAGCATCAAGCTGCTTTTTAAATGTATCCCGGCCTCAGCTATCCTTACTGTCAACCTCCTGGCACCCTGCTCAAACTCTACTGTCAATGAAATTGATGTCCGAGAGGAGGTGCAATAGCATATCCAGGATTTGCTGTTTCCAAAGCCTTTTGCAATTCTTACAATTTCGACTCCAATGTCTTGCTAATACAGGTATGTCACTTTGGCACTTTTGGTTCACTTGGTACCATTATCACCCTCGTTATTATCCCAGTTTACTCAGCATTTACCACAGACTGAAATTAATAACCCTTACATTTGATAAAGAAAATTTCATGTCGGGAGGACTTCTCAAAGAGTTTCACAGGATTTACTGTAAACACAGGGACTTTTTATCAGGGGAATGAGGCAGCTAATGTATGCACAGCAATGTCCCACCATAGAGTGAATTTTCAATTTGATTTGGGGGATGGGGGATGTAATCGGGGTCTCCTTGGAGCTGAACTGCTCTGAGGTGACATGTTTGGCAACAAAATGTAGGAGTCGGGCCCACCCTCTGCGCTGGTCTCGGTAGTTCAGTTCCTGAGCCACGCGAGTTCGCAGTACTCCAGGGCACTGCTGATGACAACACAGCCAGTCTAGCTCATCAGTAGGACTTGGAAGGGCAGTTACTGTGACGTTTTCGTAATCTATTCAGTACCTTTGACAGACTGTGGGGAATCAATCACTCCTGTTTAACCTTCCAATCGGGGTGACATGAATCAATCATTGTTTAATATGTTTGAAAGCCTCTGAGTCAGGGGTTGAGCTCATAATCAAATCGTCTTTCTAATGCTGTAGAGAGCCCTACATTGTTGCACAGCGCCTTGGGACATCCTCCTGCGTGAAAGGCGCTATACAAATGTAATTTTGTATTGTGTTGTATTGTATAGATGAGAAATTAAACTTGAGAGGTCCTTTTTGCTTGTTGTGGTGGACGTTCATTATCTCATTTATAAAGAGTCATGGTTTCCACCAACCCATTCACCCCCTTCCTTTGCACTGAACAATATTCCTTCCCAATCCAAAACCATCGAACATGATTAATTGGGCATTCATCTTATTGCTCTTTGTAGATCATTTAGCAGCATGACAATAAGGTTATCTAATCCTTCCTTGCATTTGATATAGTGCTTTTCACGTCTTCTAGACGTCTCAAAGCGCTTCACAGAATATACTGTTCAGTGAATTGACTGTATATTTGTGGGTGAAAGGCGACAGCCAATTGCACACAGCAATGTCCCACAAACACTCATGGATTGAAGTTTATTGTTGTTTTTTTCTTCAGGATTGATTATCAGGGGTGTGAAGCAAGGAAACTTGCCCAAGGTTTCGGCCTGCCGGGAATCGAACCAAGGTCATTCGTTTGAGTTATGCCCTCTTGCGACAGCCTGGCTCAGTGGTAGCTGTCTCGCCTCTGAGTCAGAAGATTGTGGCTTCAAACCCCACAGCAGGACTTGGTCTAAAATGACACTCCAATGCAATGGATGTTGAACTGTCGGTGGTGCTGCCTTTGAATGAAATGTTAAACTAAGATCCTGTCTGCCTGTTCAAGTGGACTTTAAAGATCATATGGCACTATTCAAAAAGAGAAGGGAGTTTTTCCCAGTATCCTGGCCAACAAATCCCCCAAATAAAATTGGTCACTCACTCCATGGTTGTTTGTGGGATATTGCTGTGCACAAATTGGCTGCCATGTTTTTCCGACAAAATACACAAGTCAATCCACATCACGGTATAGCCTGTGAAGTGCTTTGATGAGGCATTCCATTAAGTGCAAGGATTATTATTTTAAAAAACTCATTCTGTCATGCACTTTGAGACATTTGGTTGTGAAACATGTGATACATGTGTCTGTGCTAGCTCCTCCGCTGAATGTATCTGTATTAATCCCATTCTTCTGCTCTTTTCATTCCCTTCAAAGTATTCATTCTATTCCCTTTCAAATCGTTTTATAGATTCAGCTAGAATGGCTGTTTGTGGTTGGTAAAGCATTCACATTCTGGTAACCCTTTGTGTAGAAAATAATCTTCTGACCTTCCACTTTTTTGCCGTCTGTTGATAATACTTAAACTATTTTTACTGAGTCACTGATTATTTGAAAACCTCTGATCAGGACTTGTAATAATCAGTACAGATTATTACTGTACCACTAGGTGTCTTGCTGATAGTCAGCTGTAGAAAGTTGGCTCTCATCCAGGACTTGATGTCAGACATACAGTTTGTCAGGACAGACAGTCTGGAATCGAGGGTGGAGGCAGAGAAATAGAGTTGGATGTCATCCGCGTACATATGAAAGTTGACCCAATGTCTGCGCATGATGTCACCAAGTTGGAGCTTAGAAGTTGAAGAGGAGGGGACCGAGGACAGGGCCCTGAAAGAGAAACCGTTGGCAGATACAAATTGGAGAGTGAGAGATAAGACCTGAACCAGTCAAGGACAGAACTTTGAAGGTTGAGGTGAGAGGAGAGGTGGTGGAGGAGGATGTAGTGGTCCTCGGTATTGAAGGCAGCAGAGGTTGAGGAGGATGACACCTTGACCAGAGCAACTTCCATGCTGTGAGCAGCACAGAAACCTGATGAGAGGGGCTTGTGAATGGAGTGTTAGGAGAGGAATGAGCGAAGCTGGGAAGCAACGACTTCCACCGCTGAAAGTCCTCCCTTTGAAACATCATGCTAATGTCTTATTATGGCAGACATTAGATGCTGAAGAAAGAATAATGTCCTTCGAGGAAGCATATAAAACATAAAACACTTACCAGGAACAGGTGTGTCCACAGCGTTAGACAAACAAGGCCTACTGTTGATCAAATAATCACTGGATAGTGGGGCCTTCTGCAGAACCAAGGAAACAGTCGTTTGAGTGAAGCAAATGTGAATCAGAGTCACTGCATTGAACGAGATAGGAGGATTCCCCGGGGCATATCAGTCAGCCTGCACTGAGACTCATACAGTTATTGCAGGACATGCAGTCTGGAATGTGTTAAGGCCAGTAATACATAGGAATTAGGAGCAGGAGTAGGCCATTCAGCCCCTCGAGCCTGCCCCGCCATTCAATAAGATCATGGCTGATCTATTCTACCTCCATCTACCCGCCTTATCCCATATCCCTTAATCCCTTTGTCCACAAGAAATCTATCAATCTCAATCTTGAATATGTTCAAGGACTGAGCATCTACAGCCCTTTGGGGTAGAGAGTTCCATAAATTCACTACCCTCTGAGTGAAGAAGTTTTTCCTCAACTCAGTGTGAAAGGACTTACTCCTAATTTTAAGACTGTAACTCCTAGTTATAGTTTCTCCAACCAGGGGAAAAAGTCTCCCACTATCTATTCTGTCGTGCCCCTTAATAATCTTATATGTTTCTATCAGATCACCTCTCATTCTTCTATATTCTAGAGAATATAGACCTAAATTGCTCAACCTATTCTCATAACTCATCCGCCTCATCCCAGGTTCCAACCTAGTGAATCTATGTTGTACCCCCTCCAAGGTGAGTACATCCTTTCTTAAATAAGGAGACCAAAACTGCACACAATACTCTAGGTGTGGTCTCACCAGGGCCCTATACAGTTGCAGCAAGACTTTCCTGCTCTTATATTCTAACTCTTTTGTAACAAATGCCAACATACCGTTAGCCTTCCTAATTGCTTCCTGTACCTGCAAACTAACTTTTTGTGACTGGTGTACAAGGACACCCAAGTCCCTCTGAACGCTAACACTATCTAGTCTCTCCCCTTCTAAAAAATAATCTACTCTACTGCTTTTGCCACCTAGGTGGATGACTTCACACTTCCCAACATTATACTTCATCTGCCACCTATTTGCCCACTCACCTCGCCTATCTATATCTCGTTGCATCATTTTAATGTCATCCTCGATGTTTACTCTCCCTCCTGGTTTAGTGTCATCCATGAATTTGGATAGATTAAGTTCAATGTCCTCATCTAGATTGTTGACGTAGATAGTAAATAGTTGAGGCCCAAGCACTGATCCTTGTGGCACTCCATTAGTCACATCCCGCCAATCTGAGAAGGACCCGTTTATCCCTACTCTTTGTTTTCTTCCTGTTAGCCATTCTTCAATCCATGCAAATATATTCTCCTTAATTCCATGGGCCCTAATCTTGTGGATCAATCTTTTATGCGGCAGCTTATCGGATGCCTTTTGGAAATCTAAATACACTACATCCATTGATTCCCCCCCTATCTAATCTACTTGATATGTCCTCAAAAAACTCTAAAAGATTTGTTAAGCATAACTTCCCTTTTGTAAAGCCATGTTGATTCTGTCTAATCATATTGTGATCATCTAAGTATCCCACTACGACATCCTTAATTAAGCATTCTAGAATTTTCCCTACCACCTATGTCAGACGAACTGGTCTATAGTTCCCCATCTTTTCTCTCCCACCCTTCTTAAATAGTGGTGTGACATTTGCGATCTTCCAATCAATGGGAACGGTTCCAGCATCCGAAGAATTTTGGAAGATCAGACACAAGGTTTCCACTATCTCATGAGCTACCTCTTTTAAAACCCTAGGATGCAAACCATCAGGTCCAGGGGACTTGTCACTTTTTAATGCCAACAAATTCCCTAGCACCAATTCTTTGCTAATGTAAATTTTCCTAACTTCATAGAATCATAGAATCACAGAATTTTACAGCACAAAAAGAGGCCATTCGGCCCATCGAGTCTGTGCCGGCTCTTTCAGAAGAGTAATGTAATGTCAATCCCACTCCCCAGCCCTTTCCCCATAACTCTGCAAACCCGTCCTCCTCAACGCCGCATTTTTAAAAGTAGTTATTGAATCGGCCTCGACCACCCTTTCAGGCAATGCGTTCCAGATTCGAACAACTCGCTGCGTGAAAAAATGTCTTCTCACCTCCCGTCTGCTTCTTTTAGAGACTATTTTGAATCTGTGACCTTGAGTCACTGACACACCCACCAGTGGAAACAGTTTTTCCCTTTCTAACCTATCAAATCCCCTCATGATTTTGAAGACCTCTATTAGGTCTCCTTGTAACCCTTTCTGCTCCAATGAGAATAATCCTGGCCTCTCTAGCCTTTTCTCATAATCAAGGTCCCTCATTCCTGGTGCCATCCTCGTAAACCTCCTCTGCACCCTTTCCAATGCCTTAACATCCTTCCTATAGTGTGGCGCCCCGAACTGGGCGCAGTATTCTAACTGAGGCCTAAACAATGTTTTATATAGGTTAATCATAACCTCCTGACTCTTGTACTTTATGTCCCTGTTTATAAAGCCTGGTATCCCATATGCCCTTTTTACAGCTATATCTACCTGTGCTGCCACCTTTCAAGGATTCATTTACCTGACCTGCACCACCAGGTCTCTCTGTTCTTTCACCCCCCTTAAGATTGTATTACCAGTCTATATTGCTTCCCTTCATTCTTTCTATCAAAATGCATTACCTCGCATTTCTCCACATTGAAATTCATCTGCCATGTGTCTGCCCATTTTACCATTCTGTCTATGTCTTCCTGCAGTTGGCTACAATCCTTCTCACTGTTTACCCCCCTACCTAACTTTGTGTCGTCCGCAAACTTGGACATGCTTGCTATACCCAAGTCCAGATCATTTATGTATATTACGAAGAGCAGTGGTCCTAATACCAATCCCTGGGGGACGCCACTGTACACTTCCCTCCAGTCAGAAAAGCAGCGGTTCACCACAACTCTCTGCTTTCTGTCTCCCAGCCAGTTCTGGATCCATGCTGCCACTGTCCCTTTTATACCATGGACTTCTATCTTTCTTACAAGTCTTTCATGTTGCACTTTGTCAATTGCCTTTTGAAAGTCCATATAAACTACATCAACTGCACTACCTTTATCCACCCTCTCCGTTACCTCATCGAAAAATTCTAATAGATTTGTTAGACATTCTTGCTCCCTATCATTTGCCCCTTGGTTCATCTCTATTTCTGGTAAACTTCTTGTGTCTTCTAACGTGAAGACAGAAGCAAAGTATTTATTTAGGGACTCTGCCATATCCTTATCCCCCATTATAATTCCTCCTGTCTCTGCCTGTAATGGACCCACATTTACTTTTGCTAGCCAATTCCTCTTAATGTATTTATAAAAACTCTTACAATCTGTCTTAATGTCCTCGCTAGCTTGCCCTCATAATCCATTGTCTCACTCTTAATGAGCTTTTTGGTTTTCCTTTGTTGGTCCTTAAAACACTCCCAGTCCTCAGGTTTGCTACTCTTTTTGGCAGTTTTATAGGCCTTTTCTTTTAGTTTTATATTTTGTCTAACTGCTCTGGTTAGCCACGGATGAACTGCTTTCTCTGTGGTACTCTTATTCCTCAAGGGAATATGTGACCACTGAGAATTATGCACTACATCTTTAAACGTTTGCCACTGTTGGTCTATTGTCATATCCATTAATCTGATTCCCCAGTCTATTTTAGCTAATTCTTCCCTCATACCTGCAAAGTTAGCTTTATTTAAATTTAAGACCCTTGCTTCGGATTTGACTACATCGCTCTCTAACTTAATACTAAATTCTATCATGTTATGATCACTCTGCCCAAGAGGAGCCTTAATATCTATATTACCAACTAGCCCTGTTTCGTTGCACAAAAATACATTAAGGGGGCTGAAGATAATGCATTGAACCATAAGAGCAAAGTTTGAGGAGTTTAGCCACATTGTCGTAACCCGGAGATCTAATGACCTTCCTCTAGAGAGTATGTGTAATAATAAAATAATAATAATCCTTGCATTTCATATAGTGCCTTTCATGTCTTCTAGATGTCTCAAAGCGCTTCACAGAATATACTGTAAAGTGAATTGACTGTATATTTGTGGGCGAAACGTGGCAGCCAATTGCGCACAGCAGTGTCCCACAAACAGTCGTGGAATGAAATGACCAATTCTTTATTTTTTTGAGGGATTATTATTGGGCACGTGGAGTAAAGAAACTTGCCTAAGGTTTTGCCCTGCCGGGAATTGAACCCAGGTGTCTCACTTGTAAAGCGAGTGCTCTAACCACTGAGCTACAGACTCCATGGGAGAGTATATGGGAGAGTCCATTATACGGCAGCTTGTAAATAGTCTTCACGGAAGGAAGCGGAGGGGAACTGAATTCAAACAAGAGAAGGTATTGAATGTGGTGCCTCTGGCATCGAGGATTGAATCTCATGTACTTACACATCAATTATAAAGAATCACAGAGTCACCGCAAGGTAGTTATGTTTGCGGATGACACAAAAAAGAGGGGGAACTAAGTGTAGATCAGAAGAGGTAGCCAGAGAGAACCTGACAAGGAATGCACCTGGGATGATTAGCACATACATTACAATACAGATAAAAGTAAACAAGCATGTAGGAATTAAAAATAGGAGGCACGAGTGCTTTACAGGTGGGATAGAACTTGTCAAGGACAAGTTGAAAGAGGTAGTTAGTTGATTCATCACTCACCACAGCAAAACAAGTTTGAGGAGGAAAATAAATATAGCAAGCAGGATGTTGGGCTATACTAAGAAATCAGCTGACTTCATCTTCATTGGCAGTCATGTTGCCACAACATAAGGGCGCTAGGAAAGCAATGCAGAGGTGAGCCACAAGACAGATCTCCAATGTTGCAGGGATAAGCTATTAGGAATGCCTAGAATAACCATGGCTCTTCAGTATCAAAAAGTGATCTCTCGGTGGGGCGACCTTATATACATTTATACAGGATGTTATGGCATGGAAACAGACCATTCGGCCCAACTAGTGCATGTCAGTATTTATTTCGCATATGAGTCTCCGCCGTTCCTATTCTTTTCTATTTCTCTTTCATGTAATTATTTTGCCCACAAAATGCACAATCAATCCACTTCAAAATATACTTTGTGAAGTGCTTTGAGACATCTCAATGACGTGATCAGGCGCGATATCAAATGCAAGGATTATTATTATTATTATGATTATTATGTATACATCAAGTTTCCTCTTAAATATGTTGATGCTTTCTGCTTCAACCACAACTTCTGGGATTGAGATCACATTCTCACCCCCTCTGTAGAAAACAAGTTCCTCCAAAATTCCCTTTCAGGTCTGCTGTTGGCTGTTTTATATTTATACTCTAGTTTGGGAATTACCAACAACTGGAAACAGCTTATCAAAATCGATATATTGAATCCTTTCATAATAATAATAACCCTTACAATTGGTACAATATCTTTTACACCAGGAAGACATCCCAAAGCGCTTTGCAAGGTATACAGTAAAATTCAGTAACCGTGTTTTTGTGAGCAAATGCGGTAGTCAATTTGCACATGGCAACGTTCCACAAACAGTCGTGAAGTGAATGATCAGTTTTATTTGGGGGATTATTGGCCAGGACAAAGAGACTCCCTTCTCTTTTTGAATAGTACCATGAAATCTTTAATGTGCACCTGAACAGGCAGATGGGACATCAGTTCAACATCTCATTTGAAAGACTGCACCTCTGACAATGCAACACAACCCCAGCAAGTGTCAGCGCAGACTTGTATGAGTTTCTCAAGTCCCGATATACGGTTTGAACCCACAACCTCTGACTCAGAAGTTAGAGTGCTACCAACTGAGCCAAGTATATCATCTCTTCATATTATCTGGCAGGAAACCATCTTCTGGTTCCCACACCTGTTCCTGCTGCCTTTTGATGTTGGTGAGAGTACGGTTACCCGTGGCTCAAAATAATCTGATTCTAGTCAAACCCTGTTATTTAATTTCAAGTCCCCATTGATGTTGGTAAACTGCGGGGCTTTAGTTCAGAACATCAATAACAACCACTTGATTGAATTACAGCCTTCCAATTCCCTTCCAAGTGTGTGGTATTGCACACATATACACAAAGGAACAGGAGGAGAGAGGGGGGGCGGGGAGAAACAGTTCGCGGGGAGGAATGCTGTGCTGGTAACGCAGGGTGAGTGCTTCATGCATTTGCAAATTCTCCTCCTGCTTGTCCCTCGTGCCTTCCATCGGTGGCCGCACTTTCAGCCACTATGCCCCGAAAGTCTGGAATACTCTTCCTCTATCCCTCTGCCCTACCCCCTCCTTTCCCATCTTCAGGTTGCGTGCCTGAAGATCTTCCTCTTCGATAGTGCTCACTGTTACCTCCCCCCTCGCCCCAGCTGGGCATCATGCTCTGACACTGTCAAGAGCTCCGATACATTACCCTGTGTGAGGGGCGCTATATAAATGCAAGTTGTTGTTCATATAATGCTGCCTCTTAGGTCCACTTGTTCAAAGTAACTTTTAACAAGAGGCTAATACCATTCACTGCTGTTTCTGCTCACTTTTAGAGGAACGATGGCTGTTTTTTGTCACACACTCCATCACAGTTGGGGGCGCGGATGGGTGAGCATTTAAAGAATTGAGCTAACAGAACAAATGGTTTTGAGGTGACTTCTTTAAGGCGATCTGGGAAACTAAATCTTTTGCATCGCTCGCTGAATAATGTGGTTTGTATTTCTTGGAGCGATGGAGGGGACACGGGTAAGGCACAAGAAATACCCCGAATGACAAGGCAACGGATGCTGAACTGTGTGATGGTAAGTGAAGTGTGCAGTGCAGTGCTGAAGAGTGACAGCTCTGATCAGAGCTGGACTGTGTCAAGTCGTGAGGGAGGGAGTGAGGGAAGGAGTGATTGAGCGAGGGAGGTAGCGAAGGAATGAGGGAGGAAGGGATGGAGTTAATGAAGGAGGGAGTGAGGGAATAAGTGAGATGGGAAGGGAGGGAGTGAGGGGGAGAGTGAGGGAGGGAGGGAAAGAGGGAGGGAGTGAGAAAGGGAATAGGCGAGAAGGGAGTGAGTGAGGTAGGGAGGGAA